GTATCTGATCCTGCAAACTTTCGTCCAATTTCGCTTACTTCGGTGATGCGTAAATTGTTCGAATTCTCTCTGATGCCTGCTCTTGATGAACATTCGCCTGCATTGATGTTGCTCAAGGTGCTTTCGCCCACAGCGTAGTCCCTCTGGATCAAGCCCTCTGTTTACTGACTTGATGCACGACTACTTCCTCACCCACCACCACTACCCTGTGGTTGCTTTCCAGACATCAAATCAGCGTATGATACCGTTGGATCGTCGGTGATTTGGGATGCTCTCTCTCGTTCCTCTCTGCCTCGTTTCAGTTCTCAGTTTGCTCATCCACATGTTCGATGATGTACTCGTGTCTGTGTTGATTGCAAATCACACCTCTGTTCCCTTTTCGCCTGCTACTGGCGTATTGCAGGGTTCAGTGCTCAGCCCTCACTTGTACTCTCTGTACATCAACTCTCTCTGCCTGCTGTTCTTCGTTCTGCTGTCAGTCGCGGTACTATGGTCATCCCCAACCTGGGATGGACTAGTGTTTGCGTGAATAGCCTGCTCTTTTGCTGATGATGTGGCATATTTTGGCTCTCGTACTGATGTGCAACCATGTTGGATATCGCTTCAGATCACTCGTTCTCTCTTGGCTACAGGTGGAACCATCAAAATGTGCTTTACTTTGTGCTCCTTTGCCTCTACTCGTCATCCATTGTCTCTATACGGTGAACTCTTCCTGTGGTAGAGGAATTCACGTATCTTGGTATGCCGTTTAGATATAAGGTCTGTATGCCCCTGGGATTCTCAATCTGCGTGCTTCTGGTGCTATCAAGACAATGGCATTGTTAAATTCGGTTGGTGTCAATCGAAATGGTTTTTCTCTGTGCTTTGTGCTCGTTTTGTATAAAAGCTTTATTCGTCCCAAACTGGAATACGGCTTAGCTATATCTCATCTCTCTTTCCGTGACTTCAAGGCTCTTGATGCTCTGCAAAATCGATTGGTTGGTATGTTTGTTGGTAGTACATGGTACAATGTTGCAAACATTTGACCTGTCTTCCCAGCATGAAGCATCGATATAACGTTCTGACAACACGTTATGCCCTTCGTGCTGATACTCTCCCTGATGATTGCTTGTTGGTTCTGCTTCGTCGTGGTTTACTGTACACTCGTCTAGACAGATTTATCTGTCAAAACCCGTTTGTATCTAACACTGCCTGATCCGCCGCCATTCACCACTGCTGGTCTTACTGAAGTCTTTGATTCGTATTGGCAAGATCAAGTAGATCGTCAACTTGCTGCTGCTGCTGTTTCTGGTGCTCAGACCTCCTTCGTGCTTGTCGTCCGTCTGTCTCTCGTCCAGATCCCATCCTGTATCTGCCTATTGGTCGATCTGCTCGTAGTCGTCTTGTGCGGTGGCGTCTTGGACGTTTCACCAATATGCGTGAAGAATGTCCGTGCACTACCGGTGAGTTTATCTCCCGAGATCACTTTCTGACATGTCGTGCTCTGGATCGTACCTTTTTTGATGCTTTGCCACCTGCTCCACCTGGTGTACATCGCATTGACCATGCTCTGAACTGTCTTCCAGACAAAGCTTCAGCTGGTCCACCGTACTTTTGGTCTGCTTTGCTCTTTTGTTGCATGCCATTGATTGCCTTGTGCATCCTCTGGCTGTGATCCCACCAGATCCAGATCCTGGATCGCTCTGGTTTTCTGCTCATTGATGAACGTTTGTTGTTTTTGCTTTCTCGGTGCGATGCCACGGTGGTAAGTAATTATCAAAGTTCCCATCCGTTGGTCATTCCTCCAGATCAAATCAACAATACCAGTACTCATGCCGATCCTCTGCAACTACCACACTTTCCTTTTTCCCTTTTTCTTCGTTAGTGTCCTCATAAGGGTTTTTTGTACCTGCTACTCTTTTGTTTCTAGAATTCTAGGCTAATGCTCCCATCGAGTGCCCATTGAATTCATGTATATAATAAAAAATCAACGTTAAACTGAGCTACATCCCCAACCAATTTTTTTAATACATTGAAGCCCAGTAATATTGAAAAAATTGACCCAACTCTACAATTCCATACAATACATAGCAAGAACATCATTCCAGACGACACCAAAGTAAACCAGGCATTAAGCTCTGCGTCCTCTCTTTCTCCAGGTCAAAAACGGCCAAGTTCCTCAAGATCTCCACCTTTTTTCGCTGTTAGATTTCACTCAAACAGTTGAAAACAAAGAAAATGACACCCACTCCAACCTCTCATCAGCACCACCATCCACAAACATCAGTTGATATCATCAACATTTCTACTGATTTTGGACCAACAACTCCTCCATCTGCCTCTCCAGCGAGTGAACAGCAACTTTCAACCTTTATGATTGAGGTTCGAAATCGCTTAGCTCGTCTGGAAACCGCCCATGTAGAAATTGAGCGGTTTAAAAAACAGCCCTGGCAGAGTCTGAAGCTGCTCGTCACACTCTCGAAGCCAAACTTGCAGCTGCTACTGGTACTACAACTAGCCTGGCTCCCAAACCATCATCATCCCACCCACCTCCTGCCACTACTACCACCACAACAGCACCAGCATCAACTACATGCACCAATGCTACCTCTGCCACCTCTTCGTCTCCAGGAAATCAACCATCTTTTGCTGCCGTCGTTGCATCTAATACAGGTGCAAAGCGTAAGAAGAAGCCTGCTGCTCGTCCTCCTCCTCCATCTGCCACCAAGGCATCCGCTACTCTTGCTCGTCTTTTTGCTCCTCAAAGTGATACACCATCTGGTTATCAATTTGTGTACTATGCTACTCCTGTCCGCCGTCGTCTTTCTGAGCTGCGTCGCCTTGTTCAAGGCGTAGGATTGAATAACTCTCGTGTGCTGGATATTCAATATCCTGTACAGAATGTGATTTCTTTCCTTGTTCATAATGACTATGTTCTCACCCTCACCAAAGCCATGCATCTCCATGGTCGTGGCTCTTCTCCGTTGATTGACTTTGATCCATGTGATCCAGTCAATCTCAAAGATCCCAAATTTGCTTCTCTCTCTCGTGATCTGCGTGTCCAAAAGGCCATTGAGGTCGAAAACCTTCGCTGTCTTCGTTCTCTGTCTTTTGTCCGTCGTTCTGTCCGTGTTTCTGTTGCTCGTTCTTTTCTTTTGTATGATCGCATCAACCAAGCCCAATTTGATGCCATTTTGAAAGAAGAAATGCTTGCTCGTTCCTCCTCCTCTGCTGCTGCTAAACCACCATCTCGATCCTCTGATCAAGAGCGTTTAGCCAAGAAAACAACGTTTGAGTTATCTTGGCTACCTCTTGCATCACGATGCTGAAACTGCCTCTCTTTTGGCTTATGCTGTCTCCCCAACTCTCTCTGCTACCAAGGATCTTGAAATGTCAGAGCCTTCTGATAACTGATTGACACCTTGTTGTTAAAATCGTTTTGCTCTCTCATTCCCACTCTCATTGTTTCTGTTTCTGCTGCCTTTGTGGTAGTGTCCGTATTCACTTTGTCCTCCTTCTCTGCTTCTTTCTCGTTTGGTCTTTGTCTCTCTGCTCATTTTGCTATATGCAAATGCCTCGTTTTCTCTTTTTTTCTTGCTTTTTTTGTGCCACTGAGGTCTGTGGGTTTATTTTGTCTGTGCTGCTGTCTGAACATCGAGGTATCCTCAATTGCATGTCTCATACACCATAGCTTCTTATTCTCTACCCTTTTATCTCACTTGTTTTACTCCTTTTTCCTGCCTGTACTTCTTTTTTACCAGTTTAATTTTTAGTTTAGGACCTTTTTTCCCTTTTCTGGACACTTGCATGTTGTTCCTGCATGGAGATCAAACTATCAATTTAAGCTTTTTTGCTGTACGTCGCTTCTCAGGACTTGCAACTAATGATCCAAAGATCGCATGCATATAAGTCTATATTTTTTACATTGCTAATTCATTGTAATCAATAAACAACCATAAATTTTCGCCTGAGCTACATCCCCATGGATGCTTGAATGGCTCACTTGGTTAGAGCTTCATGCGGAAGCAGTGAGTATGCCGAGAGGTCGTGGGTTCGAATCCCACCTTCGCATCCATATTTTCCGCCTTTCTAACCTGGCATGTTACTCGGTATTTGTGCTTGCACGTTTAGGTGTGCTGCGGTGCGTCTGGCCGGTTTCTACCTTGAGTCCTGTTCGTCTCCCCCGTCTTGCGGCGCGGCCATTGCTATTCCTCCCTCTGTTTCTCCTCCTCTCTGGTGGGTTTTGATGCCGTTTACTTTATTGGTCCCCTCCCTTTTAGCAGCTCCCCTAACCTTTAATTTAAACATGCTTTTCCCCGCCGAATCACTGTTAGTCTTGCAATATATGATCATACCGATTCCGCAGTTGACTACATTTGTAAATAAATAAAAACCAATATTAAACTGAGCTACATCCCCATGGATGCTTGAATGGCTCACTTGGTTAGAGCTTCATGCGGAAGCAGTGAGTATGCCGAGAGGTCGTGGGTTCGAATCCCACCTTCGCATCCATATTTTCCGCCTTTCTAACCTGGCATGTTACTCGGTATTTGTGCTTGCACGTTTAGGTGTGCTGCGGTGCGTCTGGCCGGTTTCTACCTTGAGTCCTGTTCGTCTCCCCCGTCTTGCGGCGCGGCCATTGCTATTCCTCCCTCTGTTTCTCCTCCTCTCTGGTGGGTTTTGATGCCGTTTACTTTATTGGTCCCCTCCCTTTTAGCAGCTCCCCTAACCTTTAATTTAAACATGCTTTTCCCCGCCGAATCACTGTTAGTCTTGCAATATATGATCATACCGATTCCGCAGTTGACTACATTTGTAAATAAATAAAAACCAATATTAAACTGAGCTACATCCCCATGGATGCTTGAATGGCTCACTTGGTTAGAGCTTCATGCGGAAGCAGTGAGTATGCCGAGAGGTCGTGGGTTCGAATCCCACCTTCGCATCCATATTTTCCGCCTTTCTAACCTGGCATGTTACTCGGTATTTGTGCTTGCACGTTTAGGTGTGCTGCGGTGCGTCTGGCCGGTTTCTACCTTGAGTCCTGTTCGTCTCCCCCGTCTTGCGGCGCGGCCATTGCTATTCCTCCCTCTGTTTCTCCTCTTCTCTGGTGGGTTTTGATGCCGTTTTCAATACTGGTCCCCTCCCGTTAGCAGCTCCCCTCAACCTTTAATTTAAACATGCTTTTTCCCGCCGAATCACTGTTAGTCTTGCAATATATGATCATACCGATTCCGCAGTTGACTACATTTGTAAATAAATAAAAACCAATATTAAACTGAGCTACATCCCCATCTCTTTCCGTTTTTCATCACTTTTTGCCACCTTCCCCCGGTAAAAAGTATTTCCTCACTATAAAAGCGGTTTATCTCGACAACAAACACTCCAACTAGCCTTCAGTTGTACCAGTTTACTTGCATTTAGTCAACGTACATTGTGTTATAACTTCCAGTTTGTTGGACATCTTTTTCATATTTTATTGAATCTCCAAAGTTTGATAGAATATTTTCAGCCATGCTCAACAATAATCAGCAATTTATGGATTTGAATCAGCTCATCCAAACTGTTCAACAACAACAGCAACAACTGGTCTCTCTCACCGAGCGAGTACAGCAACATGACAATCTCCTTGCTCGCCTGGACCTTTTGGAAAAGGAAAATGGAGAATTGAAAAATCAGTTACAGGCCAAGGACCTTGCAATTGAAAAATTACAGGGCCAACTCTCATCCCGCCGCACCAATCAAGGTGCTCAATCCAGCTCTCAGGTAACACCAACCCAAGAGCTTGTTACTATTCACCAACCCGATGCTACTCAAGGTAGCTACGCATCTGCTGCCCGTAAAGGTGCCCAACATCGTGACCCTGCCCGTACTACCAAGCGACGTCTTGCTGCAGGTCGTATGTTCCAAACCGCCACCACCAAAGGTCAACAAGGATACCAGTATGTGTATCTAGGCCGCTCTGGTAAAATCCTGCGCTCTGAGGTTCGTTACCAACTTCGCCGAGCTGGTATTGATACTGGCCGTGTGTTAGACATCTGTTTCCCTGCCACTGGCGTCATTGGCATCTTGCTCCACATCCAATATGTAGAGGAGTTTCTCGCCTGTATGCGCAAATGTGAAGCTGATCACATTGAAAACTTTCAACCCTTGGATCCCAACAACATTGCTGATCCCAAATATGCTGATCTTGCCATTGAAGAGCGTGAGCAATTGATCTATGAATTCACCAACACCCGTGCTCTGCAAACCCTCTCTTTCCTTCGTCCACTCAACGTTAGTGGCGTTGGCAAATACTTTGTCTCTGCTGGCTGGATCTCTCAAGAAGAGCTAGATATAGCCGTCTCTGAAGCTATCGGTCGTCTTGCCGAGAAGGAGCCCAAAAAGGCTAAATTCTTGTTCAAGCGTCAAAAGGAAGATCATGACAGCAATGGCTCTGCTATGGAACTCTAATGAGTAACATAGCTACTAGTCATACTCCCAATAACAACCC